CTATAATTATGTTGACAAGAGGCTATTCTGTTTGAATTATAATTATAAATATAAATGTAATAATGTAGACTAACAACATACATTGGTTAAATTAAAATAAATTGGCTATTAATTTTGTTGTACAATATTAATATGAAGTTAATTGACATTTTGAGACATTTTAAAAAGCTTTTTTTCAGAAACACATCTGACACTTGACGGTCGGGGGGTTGCAGTGCGCGACTTCTCTTCTGAATAAATGAAAACTATGTAACACATTTGTTTACACTAAAATTACAAATATTTGACCAAAGAAAAGCCGGAGCAGGACTACAGAGAGAGATAAATATGATTTAGATTTTTATTTCTGTGACTYTACGACCCATAGGAGCCACGACATTAACAGCAGYAGTTATTTCATTCCTCAGCTTTAAAGCAGATCCTTTAATTCCACAGCTGACRCTGCTAAAAATGACTTTTTTTTCCTGGATCTCTGAGAGTAGAACTTCAATCTCCAAACTCRTAAAGCTCTTTTTTTGACTTTGCTATGTCACTTATGAATGGACACTTCCTGGTATGTGTGGCAGGAAACGTAGCCTAAATCCTTATATGGTGTTTTTGGGGTGGTAGATTATGCTAATCACCTCTCCCTGTGCACGAGCACAATCCTCATTTACACAATTTCCTGAAGATAGAAGAGTTTGTTGAGTCTGACGTGGCATGTTCGTACGAACCCTTCGTATGAACAAAAGTAAGAGAAGTTTAGGATAAGAATACGAACATGTTCTTGCATGTGGCCCAGAGTCTCCAAGCAGCCTCACTCTCTTGTAATTCTTTCAGGTGGTATAAATCAATAAGTCTTCAAGTTTTCTGAAGGTCTTTTAAAGTTTTAGTTGCACTTTCACTTGGCTTTATCACTTTGACACTTCTCTTTTTTTTAGTCCAGCATCTGACCATTTTCATAAAAAATGTTTTGTTTGTTAAACTACTTCACTTTAACCCATGAATTATTCAGACATGGCTTAATTCACTGTTGACACAATCTGACACACAGTTAGATATTGGCACTAAAAGAACTGATTTCCAAGAGGCTATTAGCTGAAACTTTGACATGCAGTGATATTTGATGACCAACTAAATGATATTAGATTTATCTGTTGGTCTTTGTTGATTTTTCCCCCTTTTTCATAAATCATGTTTGTCTTTAGGTATGGCATTTGTTATTTTGTTCTCCGCATTTTAACTGTCGTCACTCAGACTYAACAATATGCTGCCATGGTCAGACACAAGAGCTGGACAGAAAATGAGTGGAAAAAGCAACCATAATATRAAAAAATATGTTGAAAACTACTGATCAAAGCTACCTTAAAAATTACTTGAAAAATGCAGTATTATATACAGTATTATAAAATCTAAAGAAATGACGGCGGTGCATAAAGACTGCACAGGTTTATAAAGAGAACAATCAACTTTTTATCCACTTCCGTCTAAAGAAAACTACTTTAATGTGTTTTTTCTGTCACAAACTAGCATCAATAAATCAACAGAGTAAGAAAAGAAATGTTGGTGAAAGCAGCACAAATGCTTCACGCATACATGCCAACTCTGTCCTGTGACTACATCAGRGGTGTATCAGAGATTAATCAAATTTTAAATGCACTTTAGACATCTAGTTTGAGGGGTCATGTGTAAAGTATTTTGTAAGTATTCTTCTACATATATTTTATAGAAATATGTAAGTGATGCTTTAACAAAAACGTAACAATTTATCAGTAATCAGGTTGAAACTTACACAAAGTGTTTAAATAAAGTTATCTACAAGCTAAGTGTATAAGGTTTTAGATGAAATAAGACTGAGTTATAAATCCAACAAATTATTGAAAGTTAACGTAATGTTTGTTGTCATGGAAACACAACTGCGTATGTCACTTTGGGCTGGGCTCTGCTTCTCACACTCCAGCACTCATTCCCTGGCTTTAGACACGACACATCCCATGATGCAATCTGTCAGGCAAACATCCAAATGTACAGTGAAATAATGGCCATCATTGCTGCGCGTAATTAAATGTGTGTGAGTCTGTGTGTGTGTGTGCAGCATCACTAACATACATCATATGATGCATCACACTTTGATTTTACTGATTTATTTTCCCATTGATGTTTATTTAAATGTCACTTCAGTCACACAGCTGCACAGATGGAACATATTGATGTGTTTAYGTGGGAATTTTTTTTAAGACAGTGAAAATATTTGGCCGTCTTCTAAAGTTATTTTTTTCTTTTTATTCCCCCTCCACCCTTCTCTCTCTCTCTCTCTCTCTCTCTCTCTGTTTTTTCTTCCCCCGCTCCACCCTGCAGCCATCGCAGGAATGATCGTGCCGCCCATGTAAAGGTGTGCGTGAGCGATTGTGTGTTTCCTGTAAGATGAAGTCAAGCACACCCTGTCGCTGATCCCCGTGTGGGATTTGATGCGAGTCAGACTCCGGTCCAGGATGGAAGCATCCGTCCAGAGCTGAAGGAACAAAACCAACTCAGGCCCTTTTTTTAATTAAAAATAAAAAGATAAAAAATACAAAAACAACTATAATTAAAAAAACAAGAACTAAAACTGTTTGCAAGATAAGTTGTTCAGACTTTGTACACTGTCATGATTTTATAAAAGAACCGCCACGCCTACGATTCCACAGTCGCAGGAAGGGAATCCACTTCCTTCCTTTTGTTTTCTTTTTGTGCAAAAGTTAATGTGTTCTAATTTCCCTTTTAAATGTAACACAAGGAGTTTCTTTTCTTTATTTATGAAGTTTTATCTTCAGTGAAGGAATGTACTGTGAAAAAGACCTGATGAGTCCAAATGAAGCAGGATTCATCCAGCCAACACAGACAAGCCAAACCAGACACAACGTTTCTTTTTTTTTCTGCTTTCCTTCACCAAATCTCTGCTTCGYTCATCAGCTCTCAGACCAACAGTTGTTTTGTGTGTTTCAGCTGAASGATGATGTTCTCCAGCTGCACCTGATGCTGCAACTTTAGCTGATCAGGGTTTACTTTCAGCTCACGTCACATATGTTTGCTCTCTTTTGCTATATGTTCCATAACATGTACGTTGGACRTTTTTTTTTCTTTTTGCAGAGATAAAATGAATGCTACAAGCTCTATTTTATCGATTAGGTAAGACCTAACTGTCCACTGAGTCCTCCCGTGTTAAACCACGTCTGCTGCTAACGTCTGAAACCGATGGAGAACATGTCTTAAAGGGCTGCGGTTTTGAATTCAATCATTGGTTTGTTTATCAGAATTTATTTTGTCGGGTTTTGTTTCATAGATAAGGTAATTCTTGTTTTCTTTTTTTGTTTGTTTTTGGGGGGTTTTCTGTTGTTTGCTGTGCTTGTTAAGATAATAATGGTGATTATGGCCAATCAGATTGTGCTTGCCCTTTGACTGGATTTAATTGGTTGCATGAGTTCAAAAAAAAAAACAACCAAATAGGCAATTTATGTCTTATTTGCAGCTCTGCAAAAAAAAAGGTAAAATTTGAAACTTTTTTTTTATTTTAAGTTATACCTCTGAAAAAAACAAAAGAATTAGTCATTTCAACAAGTGCTGYGTGATTATCATATTTGTGTTATGACTCCAAACATTAAGAAGGTGCCATAAAGTTTGTGCACAGAGGTAATGATGGACCCAGGAAAAACAAGAGTTTAAGTATTGTCATTTTTTTACCTGCTGGTATTTTCTGCYTCTTTTCACCTGTTTAAGTTTGTAAAAGGCTTGATTTGTTTGTCTTATCAGTTCCTTTCTGTAAAACTAACAGGAAACAAAACTTAATCAGCTTAAAGAATAAAAAAGTCACTTTTCCAATCAGAAGTGAATAAATTGGAAGATGCCTTTTCGTTCATTTTATTTGAACATTTCTTTATGGCAAGGATCGTTGAACATGTTTCATCGCAAATGATGAAAACTACAGTAAATGTAAAAGTCTATTTTTAATTAGGTTTTAACACATTCATTGGCTTTTTTTGACATGCATCATCAAACTACTCCCAGAAATTAAAAAGTAGCAGTCCTTTTTTGCCTTTTGTTTAGGATAACCTGCACATTTGTTTCTTCAATCTTCTCTGAAATTAGGACCAAAGTCTTTGCAACATCATGAAATTTGACAAATTCCACTGCAATTTTATCAGTCACATCTGATTCTCATTTAATTTGGATGAATTTTAGGATTAGTCATTGTTCTGTTTAAAAAGCACAGTTTTATTACAAAGAAAGTTACACATTTTTACAACACGGGACGGTCAGTGATGTTTTAAAAAGCATAGCTTGTTAGAAAATTCACRCACCAATCTGTGTTGCTCCACAGTCTTAGTTTCAAATTCATCATTTTTTTTGTCCCTCGATTTTTTTAAAGAAATGACTGTGCAGTCTCATACTTTGTTGCTTTAAATACTTTTAATTGAAACATAAGTTGCCATATCTTATTTATCTGTCAGTTAATTTAATTAACATTATGTTTTTTTAAATGCTCAAAAAGCCAGTTTTATTGTTACTCTGATTAATTTTACAACGAACAATAGTTTTTAAGTTATTCTTAATAGTTTTAAGTAAAATGAACAAAATAATCAAAAGCACGAATGAAAGAAAATGATGGTTATCAAACATCTGAAGGAATAAATGTCTTAAATGTTTAATTAAAAGTTGTTTTCAGGATAAACTGTTTACACCCAGAGAACATGTTTCATAGGAGATTTTTAATTTTACTGGTTTATTGTTTGTCATATAACGTCTGTTAAAAGCCATATTGTCACAACTTTCACTCTAAAATAAGCCATGTTTTCTTTTGTTAAATTCAAGAGGAAATGTTTTCTCATGTTGAAATATTCTTTTGGCATCCTTTTATTGTGATCTGTAGATGAAGAGTTAAATGATTTGTTATAATTAAACATTTCAAAACTTCTTAATGAAGACTGAAGGAAATTACTTTTATTTAATTCAGTGTTCTTGTAATTATTTGCCTTTTTATTTCTTAATATTTTCTTTAAAATGAGCCACCTATTTATTTGATCCCAGCTTTATTTGGGCCCAGAGACCACTGTTCTGGTGTTACAGTGACTGTGAGTGTGAGGACAAAATGTGATGCTTAAAAGCAAAAAGATCTCCGCTTGTTGGCGACATATATCTACGTAAAGTGAAGAGTAAATGAGTGGGTTTTACTGAGATAAATAGGATTCTGAGCACTTGTTTTAACAGCAGTAATATTCATTCATCCTGGCTTGTCTGCGTTTGGAGCATCCTTCATGCTATCAGCAGTGCGACGATGAAGAATACAGAGGAAACTACTGTATAGATGATGAAGATGATTTTGTAATATTTTGAACTTTGGAGTGTAAAAAAAACCTTTTTGACTTTCACTATATTTAATTAAAGTTCTTTCATCTCTAAGAAAAATGTTTCAGTTTGTGTTTCTCAGCGTACAACAAAACATTTAATGTGAAATAAATATTTGATAAACGTGGATCAAGTGATGGAAAATTAGCTGCTTTTTTCCACAGTAATTGTTTCATCATTATTGAGTTATTTGATGTATTTAGTAAAATAAATCTTGAAATTGCTTTGTTGCCTCTTGAACACAAATGAAAAATATCATGGCTTTTTTCACTTGGGGTTGGCCTGATGGACTGACTGAGCAGAAAGTCCAGGAGCAATATTAGGTATAAATGGTAACGCTAACCTAATCAACAAAAATATATTTTTTAAATCTGTTTTGAGAAGAGTTATTAGTTTACAAGAAAAAGTCCAATTTCTTTTTTTTTTTGTTATTTCTAAGCTGAATAACAAAAATTCTGATTTACTAGTTTAGACTAAAAACAGCCTTTTTCAGCAACATTCAGGTAAAAGCATAGTTCAGCTCATTTAACGTTGTTTTATGTTTAAAAACATATTTAAAATCTGTATAGTGTGAATGATATATACAGTACACTGCTCAAAAAATAAAGGGAACACTTAAACAACGCACGCTAACTCCTGATCTTAATCAATGAAATATTCACAGTGAGTACTTTGTTCTGTACAGAGTTGAATGTGCTTCACAAAAGTTTGATTTACTTGGACTTAGTGTGCGTTGTTTAAGTGTTCCCTTTATTTTTTTGAGCAGTGTATTTTGTTGTTGATCACTTTTTGAATTAACTTAGTTTGGAGAAATAACATTTATTTCTGATTTGACTGACAAACTAATGGCTAGTCCAAGCAAGGGTCAAAGTGTAATGAAAATAAAACTCCTCTCTTGCAGTTTTCTATATGTTAGCTCATCAGTTGAGTTGATTAAAACTCCATTTCACCAAAATGAATTTGTTCAAGGAGGTATCTGCAACAGGTAAGATATTATTTGTTCTTCTCCCCTCCACAGGAATCACTTTTAACAGAGATTCGATTAGTTTTATGAAATATTTTACCCACATTTTAAAAAGGATGATGATAAATTTTGCAAAAATGTATTTAGATAAGACATAAAACTTTCCAGTTTCAATGCTAAAATAAATATGTTTTTGAGCTCACAAATGGCGGCGGGAACTGACTTAATGTTTTCTATTTCTTTCTTTAAAATTAAAATTTTATTTTATTTCTTCGCTTTATTGTTGTCAGTTCCAGTGTTTTCTGTCTCCAGCAGCTTAGATGTTGGCAATGCTGACAGAGTGGTGATACACATCTGTGTGTAGGTGTGTGTGTGTGTGTGTGTAGTTTCCCAAACAATACAGAACCTGCAGTGAGACCCGTTCCTGTAATGAGACAGACTTTGCTATCAGCGACACCGCAGGCTGTGGGCAAAGAGAAAAGGCTGTGAGGAGTCCCTCTCTGCCTGGAGGCCYGATCAGGGCGGAGCCACAGATGTCTTACTGACACCAATTAGGTTCTGTATCGCGTCACGCCCAAACACACGCAGGATTTTCCAGGTGATGAATGTGCRTCCACGTTTATTATCTCCTGAGAACTGACGCGACTTGTTTCTTTGGCTCATTTGTTGCCTCTTTTCAATAAAACTGAAGAATTGTGTGTTCGCCGCTTCAACTAATTCAGGAAATCCACCCTCGTTCATCGTCTTCCTGCTTCTTTTGTGTCTGTGTGATGATACCAAGTCTGACTAAACACTGAAGACATCCATTAGCTAATGGATCTTCCCTCATTTTTCCCTCTCTCTCTCCTTTTATCCCTCTCATCCTCTCTCCATCACTACATCATACTGCAAGCTGCACTTAACCCCATCAACGGGAAACACACACACACACATCCCCTGTCTAGCTATCTTAATGGGGACTTTTCATTGACTTTCATTAATTTCTAAAGCCTAACCCTGACCACCAACCCTAAAACTAACCTAAACCTAACTCCTGACCCCCATGGGGGCTAAGTTCAGGTTCCCATAAGTATTGGTCCCCACAAGTAGGTGTGTACACCAAATGCCAGCTTCCCTTATTCCWTCTCCTTCTTTCCACAACCTCTTTCACAGGAATTTGAAAGCTTTACGCTTCAAAAAGCCCCTCAAAAGCCATATTTTGAGGGGTGTGGCTCCCAGAGCAGTTTTAAACTCAGAACTAATTCAGCAGACAGGAAGTAGACGGCAAAGGTGCTGCTCTAAACATTCATATTAGCATTAAAAAAAATAAAATAAAAAAATGATCAGCGTTTGTTTTGTTSAGAAATGATTAACTTCTTCTGGCATCTGTGCATGACAGTGACTCATAATAACAGTGATGAGTTCTCACATGGTTAAAATGAACTCAGACCAGGGCTGGGCAGTTGRYGGCCCAGGGGCCACATCTGGCCRGAGGGWGACTTCTGTCTGGCCTGCCAAAGACCATGATACATGTTACTGCACTGTTACCTCCTGATTAAAGAACACCTTTTTCTCCAAGTGCGATCAGACTCTTAAATAACTGAAGGTCTCAGACACCTGTTACTCTTTGCACGTTATTGGTACTCTGGGTTTTCTCTTTTTTTAATTATATTTCTTTTGTAATTGTGTTTATTTTGGTTTGTCCTCCCTGAGGACAGCAAAGTAAGACTTCATCGCTCAGGAAAACTTTTCCAGCCCCCCTCCATTATCTCTGACTCAGACGATGGGTTTCGACTCACCTTTCTGTGACCAAAGTTTAACACGGAGGTATTTATTGTTCCATTTTCAGAAGAAAGGGGCGGTTCTAGGGGCGGGGCCACAGGGGCATTGGCCCCTGCTGAAATCTGATTGGCCCCCTGAAGTGCCCCYGTCCTTTCACTCATCTGTCCATTGCCTGAGAGCGATGATGGTGGGTGCAGTTTCATGCACAAACACTAGAGGTGCTAATGAGTCAAACAGGAAAGTCCACCATGAATCAATCTTACAGCAGTCTTCTTCTCTTCTTTAAAAGACTTGCACAATTTTGCAAAGAACATCTTTCAACTGGCAAACAATGACTTAATTTTCTCACATGCTTTGAGAATATTTTATCTATGTACAGTAAAAATGCATGTAAAATTTATAAGGAAGCTTTTTTTAACAACATTACATTACATTACGATTGTTTGAACATGTGACAGCTTAAATTTATACCTTACCAAAACCAATGATTTATGTACAAGGATGTTGAACAAATACTTGGYCCCTCTATGTGGTCCTAATATTGTGGCCCCTTGWTGGCMCCTTACTCRGAAAAATCCTAGATCCGCCACTGTCAGAAGATGACACCATTTTCTCAGGTTTGTTAAATGCTTTGACTAAAAAAACAAGATGCAACACAAAGAAGGTCTGATGCACCATTTTCAACTCTTTATTCATGTGGACGCTCATGAGCCCTATGATTGTTTTTTTTTTCTGTGCTTTATTTTAGGTTTCAGAMGCCAAAGTAAAAATCTCTTGTTTCAACAAACTAATTAAAAAACATATCACCATTCATTTTTGTTGCTTTGGTTTCTTCACAGGTTAATCCATGTTTCATTTGTTGGTATAACTCATGACTCACTGGCATAAAGAAAACATCTAGTTAACATTAAATCAGAAATCAGTGGATAAATAAATCTCTGAGGGAGAAAAGAAAAATAATTGGATAAATCAGAGATGCAGAGGATGAAAGAGTATCGGGCACAAAAARGTGAAGGAGCTTCTGATGAACAATAACAGCTAATCGTGTGTGTTAAAGGTCTGGCCGTGCATTCGAATGAGAYGTGCTTAAGTTAAGTAGAGGGGACGACACCGCTCACTGATGCCTCTTCAAACCCACTTTTAACTCAGTTTCACACAACGTGAAATACAATCATACAAACTCACTTAAGTGGAGGATTCAAAATTGAGCTGGGACTTGGACTGAATACTCCAAACAATTATCTTTCCCTCCTTCGTCTGGTAATCCATTTGCCGTGAATATATTTACATCAGCCTCTCTCTGCTCTCCTTTTTTCCTCTGCAGTCACTCGTTTTTCACCTCYGATTATCCTTCATGTCAAGTGGGATGAATTTCTTCTGAGTGATTAGCCCGTGTCCGTCATGTCCTGACTGGAGTTAACCCAAACTGCAACAAATTTATATGAAACGTCCGTCTTAGAAGTAAAAAATAAATAAATAAAATTAGTCCTGACGTACTTACTGCAGGACGTCTTTCATGGTAAAGTTTTAAATGACAAAGTTATGTTTGAATCAGAGCTTGAAAATAAAGGTTACACACAATCCCATGAGCTTTTCAGGTTAACACTCAGAGGATGTGTTGGAGATGACCTCACCTAGTTTTACCTAAATACATGTAAATAATAACTGAGTTACAATCATGTTTGTATTTTTCTAAGGTTGATTAGCTGTGGCAACCATTATGAACTGGGTTGACTTCAAACATTAACTGGTTGTAGATATATTGTGTGGTTCATTTTTGCTAACAAACACGCTCACGTACAGTCATTAACAGAATCAAATGGAAGCCCACCCTCAGGGGCGGTTCAAGGGGTGGGGCCACTGGGGAATTGGCCCCTGCTGAAATCTGATTGGCCCCCTAAAGTGCCCCTGTCCTGTCACTCATCTGTCCTTTGCCTGAGAGCGATGATGGTGGGTGCAGTTCCATGCCCAAACACTAGAGGTGCTAATGAGTCAAACAGTAAAGTCCAGCATGAATCAATCTTATCGTCTTTAAAAGACTTGAACAATATTGCAAAAAAATATCTTTCAGCTAGCAAATAATGTCTTCATTTTCTCATGCTTTGAGAATATTTTTTCGATGTACAATAAAAATGTATGTAACATTGATATGGAGAATTAAAGCTTTATTAATAACATTATGTTTCAGTTGTTGGATAATATGTGACTGGTTAAATTTATACACCTTACCAAAATTTAGGATTTATGTGTAAGGATGTTGAACAAATATTTGGCTCCTCTATGAATATTGTGGCCCCTTACTCAGAAAAATCCTGGATCCGCCACTGCCCACCTT